CACACACACACACACACACACACACACACACACACACACACACACACACACACACACACACGCGCACACACATGTGTGCGCGCCCCCCCACACACGTCCTCTCCTCCCTCGCTCTAACCTCCTCTGTGAGTTCATTCCTATTCCCTCCCTCTCGCGGCGCAGATTCAGTTATTTCTCTCCATCGATGCTCTTCCTTCTCCTTCTATCTGAAGTTGTCTCTGCCCTTGTGTCCTTATGCTCCCCCACCTGTCTGCTCACTTTGGTGCTCATTCCCTGTCCCTCGTGCAGTTCCCTTTGCGTCTGTTTTTCTCTGCGCGAACAATTTACTATCGCCAGAATCTCCTCTTTACATTATGCCATCCGGCCCAGTTGACCAATTCTCCCTTGCTGTGGTACACTTGGCCTGAACATTAATGAGCTGGTGGTTGAGCTGTCCCGTCCCAGCGCGTTCTGGACCGTTCTCTGTTTGCAGGTGGGGTCACAATGGGGTCAGTATTCTGTTTCTTCTTTTCATTCAAGAGCTGGTTGGTAGGAATATCTGATGTTATCTGACATCCGTGAGGCTAGTATGGAAAATAGGAATCATTTGACTTCTGTATGGCTAGTATGTGATGTAGGAATTATGTCATGGTCCTACAATATGTAGTGGCTTTATGAAGCAAACACTCTAGCATGACTTATGTAATTATGCCAGCTTGTTTTTGGCTGGGCACGTCCCACCTGAATAATGGACGAGGAGATTCCTCGAATGTTGGCGAATTAGCCATTTAGCTGTACTGGAATGTCGCTAGATTTGTCAATGTCTTCTCTACACCCCTTTCTGTTTGTGTGTGTGGAGAGAGCATAGGGCAAGTTTTTCAAATTCTGTTGATATGTCCTTCTACTGCTGCGATATGTGAATGGAGAAATGAAGATGAGAATTGGAACATGAGGGGCGGACAGGACCTCTTCTACACAAGTCTTGTGTGCACAAGTTGTAAGTTACTCTGGGTCTGGATGCCATTTCTGCACCTGTTGTTACCTAAGGTGCTTGTCGACCGATTGTCTTCTAGCGTTTCCAAGTGAGCTTCTCTACTGTCATAGCTGGAAAAGTTTCGGCGGCATTTGCATGTTGTTTGATGTCCCACGAAACACACCACAGACGAGGGAATCAAGCTCTCTCTCTCTCTCTCTCTCTCTCTCTCTCTCTCTCTCTCTCTCTCTCTCTCTCTCTCTCTCTCTC